AAGAGGGACGAAAACCAAAAACGGCCAATAGTTTAAGGACTAAAAACATATTTATCCCAACTTTATTAAAACTAATAAAAACCAACATATTTAACCCAACTTTATTAAAACTAATAAAAACCACCAGAAAGTAGAAGTTTTACAATCATTAAATTGATGACTTTTTAAGTTCAATAAATAAAAATATATTAAAAGAAATAGAGCATGCTAAAACGTTAATAATTCGTATTTACAGTAAGAAATTTCGAAAATAAATCAGTAATTCTCTTCTCGTCGAGCTTTACTATGGCACTCTTCCAGTTTCAAAACATCAATATGGTTGGACAATTACCGCCCCGGTGGAATGATTTTTTCTTCATCATCAAGAGCAAACGTCACCCTTGGTTCCTTCAAGCTCTGCAACCAAGTTAAAAAAAAATTACTTTTCAAATGGAGGAACCAAATTTGGGCGCAAACATGCACTTACTGTTATTCTGCTATGGGTTTTGAGATCATCGTGCATCTGATTAAGACGGTCCTTCGCAGTTTTTTCCGCTGCAAATGCTTTCCTGCAAGCTTCTCTAACCTAAAAGATACAGGGGTAAAAACGCCTTATTTTGCCAAGCATTTTTCCTGATATTTCTACACTAATTATCGTTATTTTGCATATACAGAAGGGCTAGAATTGGTAAACTACATTAAATCCAAAAAACTTAGTGAAACGAACAAGAAACAAAATCTTTATGGCACTAACCTGGCTTCCATCGAAAACAGGATTGATGTTGACACTATCAGCTGATTTTTCTAACATATTTCTTAGAAGAGATAGTTCCTTCATAAGGTCATGGGCAACCACTTCGGCATCTAGCAATTGATTTTTAGAAAATTCAAATGCTCTTTCTGCATGAAGACGAAAAGAATCACAGTTCAAACATGTGCAAAGTCCTCGGCATCCCCTTGGATTTCTTTTTAAAATTCCTTTTCTGAAACCAACAGCAGGATCTCCAAGTTGTCCTACGACTTTCAGTTGAGACAAACTCTGACCACATTTGTGTGTCTCAGGTTGTTTCCCACAAGATATCAGAAAAGAACTAGTTCCTCTAATTTCGGAGAAAATTGATGACTTGGACAAGGGAGGTGAAGTTTTTTCTTTTGTTATGACAGGCAATTCTATTTCGTGATCAGAAATTGATGGATCAGTAGAACTCTCGGTCTTGCAGAGTCCATTTGATGGAACTTGTTCATCTTGCAGTTGAGTCACTTCCCATGAATCACGAGATGACTGAAATTCAGGAATTTGAAATTTTTGGCTTGAACTATCATTTTTTAATCCTATTTGATGCTGAGTACCAGAATTACCTGCACAATGTTCCAAGTAACAGCCATTTGAATCACTCGCAAATACCGTGGTCAGGAAGAAAATTGGAAACGAAGTTATCTTACACGAGAATATAAAGCAATATTCACAAGAATTATCTTTCTTACTATTCAATAAAAATGGAAACAGTCTTTTGCAGTTTAAAGATCCAGCCTGTTTCAACAAATTAAACTGCAGACAACGTCTAAGAACCTGTTTCTTAAACACAAAAATATAAGTTAAATTAACGAGGAAAGTATAATCATAACGCTGTTCATGCAAGTTATTAGGAAATACATTTATGAAGTATTTAAGGTCCTCACCGATGTGATCTTGGATTCAAACTCATTTTTTATTTCTCTAGCATTGTTATTACTACCTTCTGAAGGCATCGTTGAACATATAACTATGTCATTCGGCATACTTCCAACTTTGTCACCACTGTGTCCTCCCATGTCAGATTTGCCTGAGATAATCTTCTCAGATAGTGATCGGGGTAAATCATTTGAAAGCCGGACGTGATTTGTGACGTTCTCATCAACAGAGACATCACTGTTGACAAAAAGTCCAATTTGATCTTTGAGTGGTGACTCATTCTTGTGTCGTCTGGATTCCTGGCGATCCTCATTTGGCGCAACATTTGCAACTATCTTAGCAGAGTGAAAATCAACCTCCGTTATTGAACATGGATTAAGTTCTGAAGCAGTCAAGCATTCATCGTCTTTAACAATTTTCTCCATAAGTTCGTTGACAGAGGGAGCAGATAGACCCTCACATACCCCTTCTTTCGAGTCCCATTGGATTGGCAATTCAGGCAAGTCTTGAGGTGTCAATATTGGTTGCTTGACATGAGATAACTCATTAGAAGTATAAACTAATACACAGTCTTCCACTCCATTGGATTCAACTGCACCATGCATGGGACTGCTGTCTGTCTTGTGTTCAACTATAGAAGCTTCTTCAGTTTGAGATGACAAAGGAAATTGAAACCTCTTTGGATGCACGTCTTCCTTTTCATCTTGAATATGTGTCTGATGATCAAATTTGGATGTATCTGTAAAATCAATTAGCTTCTTCATTTTCCACAATTAATATCTAAATTATATTATTAAAGACGTTGAAGACACAAAGAAGTTACCAGAGTCATCTTTGGTAAGATTCATTAGAAATGGAAGCAACCTTTTATAGCTCACAGAACCTGGGGTTATGAAAAGTTTCTTGTGCAAGTTCTGTCTGGGCACCTGCATGATCATTAACAAATCATATTTAAATCTCCACCAAATATATAACCAATTTTGTCAATATTACTAAAATGCAGGCATACAAGGTTCTAGAAAACCCACTACAGCATGAATAGTTTTATCTCAATGCTTAATATAGTAAAAAATTTCGTCACATATGGTTTCGACACCTGGTCTGTTTAGGTAACATAATTATATTTTAGCAAAGATCAGTAATCAAATGTCTAACACAGAATTGGTGGAAAAAAACAAGATTAGAAACAAAGAACAGATTCTTACCGATTTACTCTTGAGGAAATCGTTCCCCTTGTCAGCTTTAAAAGAAAATAGTTCAGCAGCATGCCCTTGGGTGCTTCTGGTGAAATCCATGGGTTTGGCATTAACCTCTGAATTACCATATATATGAGAATTAGGAGGAGTTGTCAGAATATATTTTTCATTCAAAAAACCAAACTCCTCCGAGGTACAAGCACTGTTATGACTAGGCTCGTTGCATTCATTACCATTCGTGTGGCTAGACAATTGATTAAGGCCATCATTCGGTAAATCACTTTTAAAACCGTTAACACCATTATCTGCAGTGGGATCCACCTTCGCTTCACTCAAACATTTTCCCTCTGCAGGTTACACAAATAAACATTGAGTAGTCACTTCTTTTGAATCTAATTGCACTTCTTATTGAAGAAAGTAGTTGGAAGATGTCAATTTTGACCCATTAGTACCACGCGTGGTGCGACCGTCGGTCTTGAGTTCTTCTTTAGAAGCCTCTTGATTTTGAGACACCAAAGGATGTTGTTTCTCCTGTTCACCGCCCTCATTTTTCTGGCCAAAACCCAATTTTGGTGTACCTACAAAAAATTCCAAGCAAATTAAAATAATTCATCAAAGATACCTTAAATATATAATCATCTAAATAAATACATTAATAAGGGGTTAGCAGCACAAAATAGTTACCAGAGTCTTCTCTCACGCTATCTCTAAGAAATGTACATAACCTTCTGTAATTGGCAGAACCCGGGATCTTGAACAGCTTTCCCTGGAAACGTGGTCTGAGAAACTGCAGAGGGAAAATTATAAAGCGGAATTATTTACTGAAATTTTAACCAAGTCCCACAAAAACTCGTTTAACCTAATCTCACAATTCGCCATGACTACAGTTAGAGCTACCAACTATGGCTATATGTACAACATCCATTAGAAAGAAAAGTCAGTCACTAGCTCCCTCCTAGGATAAGACGAGTTCACTGAAAAAATATTAGTAAATAAATACAATGGAAACTTAAAAAAAATAAAATAAGAGGCAGGCACTTACAACTTGGCTCACAAGAGAAGAATCATTCTTCGTGTTATCTATCCCCGTTGTAGGTGTATCTTTGAAAGTAATATCTGCTTCACATACGTTAACCTTTGAAGTTGAACCAACACATACCTCGGAATCAGGTAGAGTCGTTGGTAACGCTTTTCCATCCAAACCATCAATTTTCTCTGGACAATATCCGTCGTTATTTCCCTTGCAATCTTGCAATTTTCTGTTCTCTTCTAAGGATTCAGCGTTCCCTAGATTGAAGCTCCGAGCCTCGCTAGAAAGCCCCATATCGGGGCCCTCGGCAAGTTTCATGTCAGTACAATCGGAATCGTCGGCAGTCCACTTGAGAAACGTGCCTTCGATCAAACTGGAGTTGGACGACTGCGGAGGCGAATAGACACGCCTGGCACGAAGGTCCTTCATCAGAAGGCGAAGAGGCTCGTCGTGCTCACGCTTGGGTTTCGTGCTATTGGTTCGATGAAAGGGAAAGAGTACTGGGTGGGGTTCCTCATCACTCGGGGCAAGATCGAACCGGAGTTGACCGGAGCGGTTCCGGTGAAGCTGCGCTCTGCTTTGGGTGGGTGTCGCAGAGGCACGTTTCCGCTTCCGGGAGCTCGGGTCGATGTCCATGGCGTGATAGTAGTAGATCTGGGAAAATTTTGGCCACGGCTAGATATATGAGAGGCATATTATGGCGGGAACAAAGGTTTACTTTTGGCGGGAAAAATATCCTTCTTATGAATTATAATCTTCATTTACTTTCTTGGCATTCGATTTTTTTTTCTTAGTCCTTTCTCTTTTTAATTCTCGACGTTAGACACACTGAATTCCTATTTACCAGGGTTTTACGGTTTAGTTTTTTTCACTGCTAGAATTCGACTCAACGAACTCATTTGTGTTTTGAAGGGTAATCTAATTGCAATTTAATGTCTCAAGACTGAATTTCAGTAAAGTACTTTTTAAAAAACTTAAAGTTAAACTTAAGAAAAATAATAATAAAAATATACATAAATTTAATAATGATTTGAAAAATAATTCTTTGGTTTTTAAGTTTAATTAAAATATTTAATATTACTATTTATTTATATATAATTAAAAAAACAAAAAATGAAAACATTTAAAAATAGAAAAATGAGCAATTAAAATTTTAAAAATATAAATGATGTTTTTTAAAACGTATTAAATAATTAAGTTAGTTTTGTATTTCATAAATGTACCGGATATAAACAAATGAAAAATTGATTAAATAATAAAATTAATGCATAGTAATGAAAATAAAATTTAGTCTTGCATATTAGTAGATTCGTTATTATTTTTTAAAACAAACTTTTATATGTGAAAATTTTCGTGTTTATAATCTATATGGTGCAACTAGAAAAAATTAGGTAAGCAAATATAGAAAAAATGGTTTGTAAAATGAGTGTCTTGTTAATAATACCATAAGTTTTATCTAATTCTCTCACTTGGTTTATGATAAATTTTTTTTATGATCATGTGTATTATAAATTCGATGGAAGCACATATAATTTTTTAGTCTTATATTTTTTATGACATCCTACTTGTCACTATGGTTGATAATGCTAAATATGAATTGATTTTAATATTAAGGTTTAATATCTATTTGATCCTTTGGTTTGGTCAGAGTGTTCAAAGTAGTTCTATCTTTTTTGGATGTTTACAATTGTCTCATATTTTATAAAAGTGGTTCAAGTTGATTCTTTTTACTTACAACGTTAAAAACGTTAACGGTGTAAGTACCCCCTGACCAAAAGTAATGAGTTGTCCAGTTATTGATTGTGTGACACATTGAGGTCAATTAACTTGGCAATGTATATGGAAATATTAAAAGTTAAAGTGATTAAGTAAAAGGAAAGGGTTAGGGTTCGTGCAAGTTTTTCCCTAAAGTGAGCAAAGTGGTTGTAGCGAGATAAGAGTGGCTTCTTCCCGAGGTTATTCTTCTTATTCCAATATATGGGGTAAAGGAATTTCGCATTCCTCACATTGGTGATGGTTGGATGGGAGGTGAGATAATCCCTATTTACAACTGTGGTGATATTGTTGTAATCAAAGTGGCCAGAAGTGCAAAGAATGCTGACAGACAATTTTGATGTTGTCATTACAAGGTTTTATGAATACCCTTCTCACTTTATGTGTATTGGATTTATGTGTTGATACATTCTCTGACTTTGAACCAATTTTGGTGCCTAATTTGGTGTATAACAGGGTGGATCTTCAAATATCTTGTAACTTTTTCAAGTGGTGTTCTAAAGAAAATGTTGATGAAAGAAATGGTACAATTGTCAGGCAAAGGATGAGGATACGTGATTTGGAAAATTGTGTGAAAGAATTGCATAAAAGGATAATTTTTTTAGGTGGATCTGTGTGTGTTGTTATTGCGCTAAACATTGAGATATTGTGGTTCTGTTTAGGTTGATGTTATTAGGTGGACAATGTGGTTGTATGTGTTGTTCATGTAATGTTAAGGGGAATGTGAAGGTGAATGTTTAGGTTGATGTTTGTATGTTCATGCAATGGATGATGTATCGGTGTTTGTTATAATGAGTTCAAATGAAGAATATGGTTTTCATTGAGAATGTTCATTTAAGTCCCCAATTTGGTTAAAAAATGTGCAATGTGGTCCCTAATGTATATGACTACGATACATATGAAGGATACCTGCCAGAATATAGTAACAAAAGTGTTAACATAAGACTGTGACGTAATAACATAATATCAGTATATTTAATGTAAGTGCTTAATATGAGTACATATACACCATCAAAGTAGTTAACTAAAGTTGATCAAACATACATCACCATCAAAGTACATAATTAAAGTGTTTAATGCCAGTACAAAATACATCCAAATTTTCACAATGAAAGTAAATAAATTGACATCTAAGGAGCTTTTCTTCTAACATGTAACTTGTTCCTTCTCATTGGTGAAGTGGGTTGTGGTGGCTAAGGGGATTGGGATGATTGTGATGTTAGAAGGGATTGGGGAGGACAATGGGGACTTGGTGGTTGTGATGGTAGAGGGGATTGGGTACTTGGTGGTGGCTGTGATGGTACAAGAGATTGGGTAGTTTGTAGTTATGATGGTTCTATGATGTCTGGATGTAAAGGGCACTGATTTTTGTTGTGCCCCACTTGATGACAAATTTTACATTTCTTTCCGTGGTCACCAACACGCATTTGGGTCCCATCCTTAGTTAGCTCCCATGCCTCCAACCTTCTTTTTTTTCTTTGGCCTTCCAAGCAACTTTTTCTTAAATGATGACAGTACATCAGGGAAGATTGTTCTTTCCCATAACAGGTGGCCATTGACATGATAAATGATGGAGGAATATGTCTCTTCATTTGTCGATCTTCTAAACCAACTTGGTATAAAAGTTTCTGGATCTACATTTGAGTACTTCATTATTGCATGACAACATGGGATGCAACTGATCATCCACTTCCTGCAGCTACATTGTTCATTATCCAGGTCCATTGTGAACTTGTTCCCCATGACTGAAATATGCCTAATCTCAAACATCTTTCGTGCAGACCAGTTGAAAGAAATAAAGCGCATAAACATAAATGAACAATGGACATCAACATAAATGAGAATTAGATATGAACATAAATGACAATATTACCTTGGGATCCAATATCTTGATAAATTTGATTCATTTGGAAGTCTCTTTTTTATCTTTGGGCAGATAGTGAAATCCATAGATGCCACATTGGTTCTGTTGGTGACCCATCGTTTCATGAGATAAAGTCTGATCTCCTCCAGCATGGTGAAAATGGGATTTCCTCTTACATGAACAATAAGACTGTTGAAAGCTTCACTGATGTTGTTATCAAGGGTATCAAACACTGCTTGAGTTGTGAAGCAAGATCTTGACCAATACCTATTGCACAAAATTAGGAAAATCGGTTACCGTACATGACTGATTGAAATGTTCACGTAAGGGAAAAATTGTATCTCAGTGGAATGGCTATAAGGTATTTATATGCTTCTACATTAACTTCTCTAATATTCAACATTTCTCTCTCCCAAGATTGGGGGTACATGCTTGTGGCAACCCTCCACATCATATTCTTCAATATCTAACCAGAAAACCTTTTCCTAAAGTTTGCATAGAGGTGTCTCATACAAAATCTTTATTCTGCCCCAGGCAAAAGTTCTTGGATAGCTGGCACCAACCCCTGTCCACATCAATTTATTAATCAAACATACATCATTTACAAAGCATGAAGTATAAAATAATATAAGTACTACATGTTCCTTTTCCTGGTTAGACATCCACCTACACACCCCCACACACTTAATTACCCCCAAGGTCTTCAACCAATAACTGGAAAAACCACATCCAAGTGTCTTTGTTCTCGACTTCAACTACTGCATACGCCAGGGGTAGCATTTGCTCATTTGGGTCCTTACCAACAGTAGTAAGTAGCTCTCTCTTATACTGACCTTTCAAAACCAACTCATCTAAACATATAATGGGCCTACAACTCACAAAGTTGTCCTTACAAGCTTTCAAACAAAAAAAAATCTTTGGAAGATTTGGTCACCATTATCACTGTCAACTTTAACCTTTACTGTTGAAAATAGAATGGCTTAGTTTCAATACCAAGAGGGGGGTGAATTGGTGAAACACAAAAATAATGTTTTCTTTAAATCTTTTAAGCAAAGTAAATGACTTTAAAAGCTTTCTTGAAACGCAAGGAAAAAGACTATGTAGTGAAGCGGAATATAATCGAATGAGAAAAATAAAAAGTCAACTGAATATAACAAAGTAGAAATAGAAAGATCAAACAATGAGTTTTTATACTGGTTCGGCCAAGACTACATCCAGTGTCCTTCCACCAAAAAAAGCAAATGCACTATAATGATCAAGGTTTTTACAACAAGGATTTTATAGAGACATCCACGTCAAAAATATAAAACACCTCTCTAACCCTCTAATCAAAATATAGGCATATACAAACAAAGAACAGCAGCAAGATGTCCCCTCTCCTGTAGTCTTTAACACTTTGCACAATCCTCAAAGTCCAGAACGCCGCACGTTCTCTTCTTGTAATCACAACAGGGCAACTCCAATCTTCACAAGATTGATAGAAACTGATCGCGAAATAGACACCTCAAGTGCAGGTTGATCAGACAATAAGAGCACACAGATTCTTGCTCGTCAAGCAATCATCAAAGATGAACACCACAGTCTTCTAGATGAATTCTTGGAGCTTTCACACTTTCTACAAGAGATCAATAATCTGAAAGAAATCAATCAAATCCTTAGAATCACAAAATTTCTTGAAGAAATCAAATTCACGTCAATTTATAGCAATTCGCAACTCTGGCGCATTTTAATCAACTTTACTACTAATGCAGTCGAATATAACAAAACAGTTATAACAGTTAGAAATAATCAATGCCGTTAATTGAATGAATAATTAATGCAGTCGAATCACAATAAATTCTTGCTTAACAAATTTAAAAATATAGTCGTTGTAACATTTAATTCAAGCATTAACAGAATTTCAAAACTGTAACAGACTTAGTCGAATGCAGGTTGCATGTAAACGACTTTACAACACAATTAAACAAAGTTTTGAAAAAAATTTCTCTTCAAAAATTCTCGCAGCATACTTTGAAAAAGAGTGTGCAAAGCCACGAGTTTTAATCGACTTACTTCATAATGAAGTCAACTTAAAAGTG